AAACTAAAACAAAAAAAAAAATGCTTTTACAAACGTTCGTAGATTTAGAGACATGTTCAAAGAAACATATGGATCCGTCATTTCAGCTGCTGTATTTTTCTGGAAAAGGATGACAGAGTAAAAGTGTCGATGTAGATAGAAAAAAATAACAAGAGAAAGTTTGAGATTAATTTCTGAATTTTTCTCAAAAAAAAAGGAAGCTTCTGAGCTCCACGTCAAAAAATTGTGAAAAACAAACTGAAATTTTGACATTAATTTTGGTAATGAGTTTCAAAAGTCAAAACTTTCTGAGATTAATCTCCAAATTTAGTTTTTTTTTCTCTCAAATTTTAAACTTTTCAAGCTCAAAATTTCTCAAATTCTGAGATTAATATAAAAATTTCAGAATTGTTTTGTCTTGCAAATTTTTTAATTTTGCAGTTCACAAATTTTCATGTTTATTTTTTTATTTGAAGACAGAAGGGGCCAAAGTCTTGCAAAGTATTGTGAGAAGCTTGTGGGGGGAAACCCAAAACGTTAGACCCAAGTCACGAGTCCACAACACCAACCAGGGATTTTACTTAGATTATGTTATTTGAATTTATTCAAATCTAGAAATTTCGATGCTCATGATTTTTATGAAAAGTGGGTTTGTGTGTCTGCTGTATTTTACTTTGATTATCCTTTTTGCCTAAGGATAATTGATAATTGGCTTCAGAGTACTTTGTGTCCCCAGACACATAAAGACAGAAGAAAAGATGCAGCAGGTTTGGATGCAACACGTTCCTCGTTCTTCTGAGAATTGCAGCCGTTTCCTGCAGACTCCTTGTTTCGAAACCTATGGAACAATGTACGTGTGTGAATGGAGCTTCTGAGCTACAGCAGAGCTGGAAAAAAAACATTACAGCTTTATTGGAAATTATTGATAATTCTCCACAGATAGGCAATAAAAAAATCTGATGTTTTTTCTGGATTTCGCCTTTACTTGCAGGCTCATCAATCTGGAGTTATTTCACAGCCTCTGCTCTGGGAAGAAAGGAGGAATAACATATTTCTATCCCAGTGCATGTTTCTAGTAAGAGGTCACTGATCTCTGGTCGCCCAGATGTTTTCAGCTCGCGTTAGCTCAGGTTTCCAACGAGCTGCAGAGAAAAAAGAAATTGTTTTCACGGCCAGCGATGCCGGCCAACATCGTGTGTCATCTTCTTCCTTTGGTGAGATTCACGCCACATAAGAAGCCTGTTGCGCAACAGCTTCAGGTTTTCTGTTTGTTTTTTCTTTGCGCTTCAGCAACAAAGTGTGTCAGAGCAAATCAGAGCCTCTTGCTGTGTTAATAAGATGCAGAGATTTCAGAGTTTTTGTGCAAACCAAGTGAAAGGTTTGAAGTGGCTCGCTTTAACTTTTGCAAGACAAATTTGGATTTTAAGCTGCTTTTTCTGGTAATGCAACTCACTAAAATATTTAGTAGTTTGAATCTTCTCAACTTGGAGTTTGCAAATTATGTCAATCTGTGCTAATTTGTCCTGACTGTAATCTTTTCCACTGGTTTCTGAAGTCCTTCAAAGGCTTTTTTGGGTTTTTAGACTCTTTGGTCTCGCTATTTTCCTGTTCACTTTTGCCCATTAGCTGATTCTTTATGGAGGATGTATTTTCTGCATTAAGCTGCCTAAATGTAAAATTTATGTGATTTAAAGGCACTTTTCCTTTTGCATATTGACACCTTCACTGCAAAAATGCAAAATCTTTCCAAGTATTTTGGCTTGATTCTAGTCCAAATATGCATTTGAAATAAAACAGAACTAACTTAGAAGTCATGTTTCAATAAGATAGAGGAGCTTGTTTTAAATAATAATTACTTAATATTGACAAAAAGTATCTTTTGACGGATTATTTCACTTTCTTGACATTTCTCACTTGCTGTAATTAATCTGCCAGTGAAACTAGAACTTTTTGTCAATATTAAAGAGTCATTTACTTAAAACTTTACTTTTGTCTTATTTCAAGTGTATTGAGATATTTGCACTACAAACTAGACTAAAAATACTTTGTAAAATGTTGTGTTTGTGCAGTGCATCTACAGATTGGAGCATCTCTGCAGTAGCAGCTTTAGTCCGTCTCTTAGGATGCATTCAGACCAGGTTTGTTTCATCAAACTGCTCCGTTTTGCTATGAAGTCCAGTTCATTTATGGATGTGTGAATCCAGTTGGATTCTGGTCCGTCTCAGTTCAGCTGAAGTGAACTGAGCTGCGGTTCGGATGCATATATGAATGGAAACCAGACCAGATTCAGCTCCAAAAGCGGGAAGTGGACTGTAGCACAATGCATTCTGGGTAAATACACACAAAATACATCTGCCACCTGTTGGAGTGGAAGTCTTTATTTAAGTTGGATCAATAAAGTATTATTTAATTTGAATATGAAAGAAATAGAATTTTGTTTGCCCCTCACACGTCAGAAAGTTTTTCCGTGTCGAAGCCCTCAGTTTGACCTCAGCACTTCCAGATAACTCACGTTCCTTAATTACAAAACGAACTGAGGAAATGGTTACCTGAAAATGCTTCGCTATCTTCTTATTGCTTTCTGTCTGCTTTATTGGCATCAATTATGTTGCATTTCTGAGGGACGGGAAGCTTCTGCTAATTGCTGGGCCCAGATATGGAGGCGCAAGAAACTATTTAAAACTTCTCCATTTTGCTGCATCGCCTTTTATTTCTGATCGTCATCAAAAAGGTGTAATTTGATTCCCTTAATGGTGACAATAACTCCACAAAATCACCTGTGTGCACTGGCTGACTTGGGAGTTAATCAGCATTATCTACTGTTGAGATGTAATTAGATAATATCTCTTGCTTATGTTTACTACAGAGGATCATAATCTTAATATGACTCTTATTATGTTATTAATCATATTATTAACGACTGTATTAAGACTGTGCTTTCTGTAGGCATTGTCAGGAATTCAGTGCAACTTTTTAATTTTTAAAGATTTGAATTACAAAGCCAGGAATATTTATTACAGCAGAAAGGCAGAGTTTGGGTTCAGTAACAATATCACACAAGAAAAAACCTTGAGTTTTATAAATGAAGTCATAAAAAAGATTAACTCACAACAGATTATTCTTTAAAATGAGAGCAAGTGCTTGTATTTTGAAAGAAGTCATTTTTTCTTAGCTTATTTTGTCAAAGTTTTGTTCTTTTTTAGGTCGGAAAATATTATAAATGAAAAAAGAAACTTGCTTTTCTGGGCGTTTGTACTCAATCAACAACTATTTTTGTGACATTTCATCTAATCATTTAAAATTATAACATTCTCTGCTCCAATTTTCTTCTTCCAGCAAATTTTTATTCACATTTTTTTTGTCCTCTCGTTTAAAAATGCCACAACGAATGTTTTGAGTCAATATGGGTCTGAACTTTCAGTCACATAAAGACAATTACGAAGTCGGCCTTCTATCACCTGAAGAACTTTTCCAGGATTAAAGGACTTAATGTCTGAGAAAGAAAGTAAATGCAATTGAGTAACTGTAACTAGTTCCTGCCAGCTCTGTGCAAACGCCTCCAAATAACGTCTTCTGGCGAAGTTTACCTTCTGGTTCTTTTTGGGTTTCAGTTCAGTGTAAAGTCTGAGCTGTTTCTTCAAACTAGCCAACATCATCAGACTCTGCTGAACAATTGTCAAGACTGATTAATCTTCCCACGCTGTGCCAACGCCTCTCCACTTTCTCCCGCCCTGAGGCCACTGTGAGGGTTTCCCCGAGTCAGACGGACCTGTTTGTCCTTTCAGAAAGCGAAAAGAAAACAGACAAATTAGAGTTTCACAGACGCAGGAAGCTCAAAATGCATGTAATGTCTGCGCTGCAGCGGCTCTTTTGTGTGTCGCGTGTTCTGCCGACGGACATTTTTCTTCTTCTTTTGTCAGTGAACAATGAGTCCATCCTGCTTATTATCTGTGCAGCAACAGCTTGGTATCACTTCTGCTTCATATCGTGGAGCTGCACTTCAAAATAAAACATCTGCCGAGTGTTCGGGCTCTGCTTTGGTGGATTAATGAGCGGAGAGTGGAAAAGTGAGATATGAGGTTAGGCTGGACCCGAGGTGCGACACGCCGCCTGCTAGTCGCCACGCCGCCAGCAGCGGCGAGAAGATAAATGAGCAAAGTTTGTTTTTGTCAAGGAGCTTTCTTTCTTCCCTCGAGCAGAGGTGTTCGAACATACAACTCTAACGCGTGTTTATCACTGAACAATGCTGGGTAAACGGTTCTATTATGTGGCATGACCTTTGTTTATTAAAACATTATGACTCATGTTTCCTACGAAAGTGAAGAAAACTACGGAAAGAAGAGAAACAATTAGGACTTTTTAAAAAATTATTCTCACTATTCTGACTTTAAGCATAGAATAGATTTTTCCCCCTCTGAATTAGGACTTTTTCTCAGAATTCAGATTTTAATCCCAGAGCTATGACACTTTTTTTCTCAGAACTGGCATTTTTCTCAGGATTCTGACTTTAATCTCCAACTCTTCATCTCTCGTTTCCATACATCTATGCCACAGTTGCGTTGCTTTCAGTGTCGGCAGGTTTTTTCCATCATCCTCATTAAATCAGGGAGGAAACTCTTCTTGAAAGACTTTAAAACCTCTATCTAGGAGGAAACAGGTTGAAAAATGTAATAATGTGAGAATAGAAATAGCTAAAACATTTTTTCTTTTCTATTTGCACTATTGCAGTGAAAAACACAGGCGATAAGGGAGAATCATTTGAATGATCCCCTTTAGGAGTTTTCCAGCAGCCATTACCCTACGGTCAGTAAAAACTCTCTGAAGAAGCACTTAGTCCAGTGAAAAACCCTGAATTCAGCCACCGAGGTGAAAGATTGACACACAGCTTTCCAGATCGCTGCAGGCAACTTGTTTTCTCTCCACAGCCTGGCGAGCGTCTGCATAGTCAGGTGGATTTACAAGTCAGCTTTAGCACCGTTTTAATTAGCCGGCCCGTCTGTCTGTCTGTGTCCGTCCTCCAGATGGACCCGGTGCAGAAAGCCGTCCTCCATCACACCCTCGGCATCCCTCCCACAGCCAAGAGGAAGCATGTGTCCTGCAGCGTCTGCCAGCTGAGGTTCAACTCACAGGTGAGCGACTCGAATATAAATCCTCTGCAGAATCAGATTCCACTAAGGCTTAATTTGCGGGCCGCTCGGCCCGAATCGCAGCTGCATTGAGATGCAGATCGAGTGTTCGGTGCTCTGTAGGCGATGATGCTGACTGAGCAGCAGACAAAAAAAACCTGACAGCCAGGCACTTTATGAAGTTTATGAAACGCAACTGGGAGCACTTTCATGTTTTTATGAAGTAGTAAATTACTCTGTTGCTGAAATTGCATGAGGATCAGAAGTGAATAAAGATTTTTTTTTAGACGACTTCAAAGAAATAAAACTTTTCTGCCGACACACAAACTAATCCTCACTAGATGGTTTGTGTTGTCTTGTAATTTTGTACGTTTTTGTACTTCACGTTGGGTTTCCACTGCTTCTAAAAACAGACCAACGCTAAAAAAATAAAAAAACACTCAGCTGGTTTTTAGCAAGACGTTAATTTTTTCTTTCTGGTGTCTGGAAAATACGGCGTTTGAAAAAAACCTCCCAAATGTAGCGTTACAAATTAGCAGATGCTAACTTCCACCTAGCAACCCAAGTGGAACTCTGCTCGTCACCTAGCAACCCAACTGGAACTCTGCCCGTCACCTAGCAACCCAACTGGAACTCCGCCCGTCACCTAGCAACCCAACTGGAACTCCGCCCGTCACCTAGCAACCCGAGATGAGCTCCTGCTATAATCCGCTTTTTAAATTATTCTTTTTCATTAATAGTAAGAAATTATGAAGTAAGGCAAAACTAACAAGCACATTTTCAGCAAAATGCATAATTTCATTTTAATTGATAAACTTAGTAGTTATTATTAATCAAGATATTTTTCCCAAAATGTTTTGTTTCACTGGCAGATTATTTCACTTATAACAAATAAGTTTTTCATAAATATTAAGGAATTACTGACTTAAAACAAAATATTGTACCTATGTGGTATTTTAAGTGTGTTTTCAGACAAAAATACTTGGTAATGTTTTGTTTTTTTGCAGTGTACTTTTATTAATTACCAGTATTCAAAACTTTTTTCTTCTTTATATATAAGAGAGGGATTTTTATAAAAATAATTTATCATCATTAATTAAAATCACAGTTTGGTTGGAAGTTGAAGGACTTCTTCTTTCTGTTTGTTGCCATTTCTTCATGTTTTCCCAGAACACCACAGCAGGTAGAGTTCATTAGCATATTTCCATATTCAGTATCTTCTACATGCTCGAGTATTTTAATCAAACGCTCGGCGTTCGCATTAACTCGCTAAATCTAACCAACGTTCGAGCGCCTAACCAAGCAGATGGGTTTCGATTTTCTCCTGCACCTAATTTCCATACCACTTTGGAAGTAATCAAAAAAGATTTAAAAAGAAAATCAGTGGTGGTGCATGTTGTTAAATCAGAAGCATCCCTAACTGGCAGTGTCGCGGCACCTTTCATTAAGCAGTAATCAATCCATTTTCATCGCTGAATGGGCAGGTGATTACTCAGGACGGCATTATTATGTTTTACAGAGGAAATCATATCTAAGAACTTACTGACTGTTCATCAGCTGCTCATTTTAGGCCTTCGTTGAAGAAAAAGGCTGTCAGCCGTACGAGTGGACGCCCTCAGATACTCGCCGGTAATTTTTTAAAAAAACTTATTCACTGCCAGATGGATTAGATAATTAAATTTGCCAGAGAAACGAATTGGACATAGCGTGATGTTCCTGTTCATGAGCACTTGTGTAAGAAGTAAAAGTTGGAAAGAGAAAAAAAAACAACAGCTTTTTTCTGCTTCAGTCTTAATAGTATCAGTTTTTAATAAATAACAGTTTTTTTCTTGATGTAGGAAACTGAACTCGGTTGTTTTTAGATTTTTACTTCTGAACAGCTGGAGTGTATTTTACTAGATTTTAACAATTTGTCCATTGATTTACTATCAGTATTTCAGTTCTTGTCTGGCTTTCACTTGATTTTTATAATTATTTATGTTTGCATCATCAACACTTTTAGATGTAAAGAAATCTGAGGGTTTAACGTCCATCAAAACTCACCACCCCACTTTAAACTATAAAAACACACAAACTGTTAATCCTTGATGGTCAGCATCACTCTGTAATTAAACTACCACCAATATAAGTGTATTAATGGAAGTGAACGCCAATCATTAGTTACATTTGCTCCTCATTTCTCTTTTTGTTTTTAGATATTTCAGTTATCAAAATAGATAAAAGGTGCTAAATTTGTTGAGAAAAATGTAACAATTTGAAATTAGCAGTAAATCAAATTCTTGCTCTGAAGCTTGACTGAAGTTCCATTTTTTACCGTTTCACTGCATTGAAAGCCTTAAATAAATTAAATTTATACCAATGAATGTACGTAAGCTCATTAAAGCTGCTGTAGATTCAAATAAGCTCGTAAAATCATTTAGATAAAATGTGCTTTGAGTACTAACTCACCAAAACAGCAGCCAGTTCAGTTAGTGTTTATTTTCTTACTATCCCACACACAGAATGTGGCCTGATTAAATAGTCTTAACTAAACGTGTCCGTAATGGTACTGAAGGGTTTAATGGCAGAGTTAAGTTTAAATGAAGCCATCAGTTGCACAGAGCGGGACTGTTTCCCCACTGCTGTGGCAAACAGAAGGCTTAACGTTTTTATGAAATGATTTCCTGCTATTATAGTGTCCAAATTCCTTTATTTTATCACATTGCAGCTTCAAAATATTATATTTTTACTTTTATTTGTTTATTTTGCGTTCTACAGCTAAAAAGAATACTTAATTTTTTAGTTTGATGTTTTTATGCAGTATAAAGAGACAGTGTGGTGAGATTTCTGCAGGCTAACAATATATTTCTGTATTATTTTAGTAGAAGAAGAAGCTATGAAAACGAACCACCTGTTTGGAAAAGTAATCAAGTTTTGTCTGATGCCATCATTAATACACATCAGATAATACTTTTTATGGTTAAAACGTAATCAGGTGGGTTTTTTGTCTGGATTTAAAGGACCTCAGTGTTTCGGCTGTTTTGCAGTTTTCTGGAAGTTTGTTCCAGATTTGTGGTGCTTAGGTGCTGAATGCTGCTGCTCTGTGTTTGGTTCTGGTTCTGCTTTGGGTCTGCATTCCCAGAACCAGCAGATCTTTGATGTATTGTGGTGCTAAGCCGCTCAGTGGTTTATAAACTAGCAGCAGTATTTTACAGTTTATCCTCTGAGCTACAGGGAGCCAGTGTAGAAACGTTAGAGCTGGGTGATGGGCTCCAGGTTCTGGTTTTAGTCGGGTCTCCAGCATCAGTGTTCTGGATCAGCTGCAGCTGGAGGACTGATGTCTTTAGACAGTTGCACTAATCGGTGCAACTGAAGATGAATTTCTCTAGATGTTGATGAGACATTAGTGATTTAATCCCAGAAATGTTGTTCAGGTGACAAAAGGCCGACTTTGTAACTGTGTTTATGTGGCTCTGAAGGTTCAGGCCCAGATTTGGGGCAACTAAGACCTGAGTTGGGAAGTAATTAGTTACATTTACTTATTTACTTGAGTAACTTTTATTTTTTAAATGTACTTTACTTCTTACTTTTTCTTGAGTAATTTTATTATGAAGTATTTTTCCTCTTGTGTAAAATGTCTGGATTTTCTACTCACTGAATGAAAAACAAACATGTTTTAACCCAAGACAGCTGCAGTTTTTGTTAAAGCTTCAGAAGTTTTTTATTGAAAGAAATTGATTGGGAAACATTTTATTTGCCTGATTTATATGAATTATTGTCATTTTGGTTGTTAAAACACAGAGGTTTCCACCTAACTCTATAATTTGGTCCATCTGATGGTGTAATTTTTAAATATTAAATGATTAATCAGTTACTCAGTACTTGAATAGACTGGTTACCAAATAACATCAGTTTAGAAAGTTATTCAGAAATAACCTGATTATTTTTGACAGTTCCACTAGCCAGATCCAAAGTGTTTGCTCTAATTCAGGATGAAAAAGAGCAAAAATATATATTAGGTAGGCAAATAGTTTTTTTTATTTTGTTACATCACTGTATTAGTCTGGTGCAAAATAACATCAATATGCCTTTTTTCCATGAAAGATTTATCCTACATAAACACAAATTTTGCTCTTGAGCGTTAGAACATTTCTGATACAACCCAACAGCAACATGCAGGAATAATTAGATTTATCCAAATCTATAAATAATGCTCAGCAGGGAGCATGTTCTGGCTGCTTGCTTGGAGAAGAAGAAACTTGTATTTTAGGAATGTGTTTATTTTTATTTGTTTCACGAATCATTCTCGCCTTCTCTCAGTCTCCCGGCGTTTCAGACTTGCACCCTCTGAAGCGCCATATTTATGTCTCATAGTTATAACTTCCAGAAATGGCTACCTGTGTTTATTTGTTGCGAGTTGGAGTCATTTTGTGGGGTTTTATCTCATCCACAGGCGTGTGCATTGCAGCAGCAGTAAACTGGGAACAATCCAAATGACCTCCATATCTCATTAATGCAAGAAAAAGAGCTGCTATAGATTTCTCTTGCACCCAAGACTCCATAGACTCCAGGAGAGTGTTTATATCTGGGTCATAAAGATTTATGACTGGCTAAGAATAGTGGATAAACTCAGAATTACAAATAAGAGAGGAGGATGACTCCAAAAAAAAAAAGAACAAATGAAAAAATACCACAAAAAGGAAGCAAAAAGCTTTAGATCGATAGATAAAAGATGCATCTAACTCCTTAAACAGGTTTCCCTGTCCTAACATAAGCACTAAATTAAAATATTTAATTTAATTGGACAGATTAATTAGCATATCCTTCAGGAACAGGAAATTGTTGCATTTTATTTGTACTTTTTAGTGTAGTACATCATTGTGGTTTATGGAGTGTGACATGTTATGGCTTGATTTTCTGCTCATTGCTTTATGTTTCATAACATTAATCGCTAAGGTTTGGAACAAGCCATGTTGGGAAAAGGCTTTTGTTGGGTATTTCTGTGGTTTTGGGATTTTAATGGCTTTTTATTGTTTTGGAGAAATAATAGTTTTTAGCTTGGTTCTACAACAATTTTCGCTTTAATAGAGAAGTCATGGTGGCTTGAAATGGAAACCTTAAAACTAGAATTTCATTGTATTTTATTGGGGATATTATGGTACCAACACATAGAAGTGAATAACTGTCCAAATAAAACAGGATTTCTACTTTTTCCATTTTTTCCTTCACTCGTTTACCACTAAATAAAAACCTGTGAAATTAATTGTGCATAATAACATGTCAGTTTTAATGAACTAAATAGATCTTAACAAGTAGATAATTTTGAATCTTTTTTAAAGGTTCCACATTTTGTGTTTCTGGTACGACCAAGAAAAAGAAAAGGAGTTAGCCTTTTACTTAAACTAAAGTAAAATAAAATACCACCACTTTGCATCAATTTGATGGTTCAATGACCTGGATGGCAGATTAAAAACAAATATATTTAGTTCATATAAACAATTGTAGATTAGAAAACCACAAAATAAATTTATGAGAATAAACTCAAACAAAAATAAAATAATAATATTCTGACTTCATTCTAGTAAAATGACACATTTATTCTCATAATATCGTGGCATTATGTTTTATTACAACTTTATTTTTGTTGTTTTGACTTTCTTCATGTATGATTTTATTCTCATTTATTTTTTACTCGTATGGCTCCAATACTCGGTCATACATGTCTATTTATTCAATATATTATCAGCAAAAAATGTTTTTGAATTGAAAATGCTGATTATTTTCTCTATTATAGCTTTGGATTGAAATGTGATTAATTCCGCTTAATTAATTAGGAACCCAACAATTAACTTGATTAAAAATGTTAAACGTGTCCCTCCGATACTCCATGTAAAAACAGCTTTCTGTGCAGACCTCAGCAGGAGATAGGAGAGTTTCAAAACAAGGTTTATAATGAAAATTAGACCAAGCTTTGAGCATCTCACAGATTACTATTATAATCAGCTGAAAGGGGAAGTTTCAAACTAAAATCAGTCAAAATGTTCGACTGATTTTTGACAACAAATGTGGCCTTAAAGTAAAAGTGGCAAAAAGAAAGAGAGTCATAAAATATGTTGACACAATGAGAACAAAGGGAAGCAAAATGCAGAAACCCAAAACTGCACTGCAAAAATACAAAACCATGACAAGTATTTTCTGTCTGCCTTTTGGTCCGAATAGCTCAAAACACTTAAAATAAAACAAAACTAACTTTTCAGCAACGCAAATAATTCCTTAGTGTTGATTTTAAAAAAGTACTCAAGACAATCTGTTATATTTTGCTTAAACGTTTCTTGTAAGTTAGTTTTATTTCAAGACAAAAATACTTGGTTAGATTTTGTGTTTTTGCAGTGTATGACAATGAGTCACGTGCATAAAACTTAAAATAGGAAGAAAATATAACAGTTTTGTCATAAATGCGAAAGGGAATTATTAATGATTAATCACTGCAGAAACATGCATTTCTGACCTACTTTTTATTGTAAATATTATACTACATGTCAAATAAGACGAAACTGACTTACAAGCAACTTTTCAGCGACATATAGTAGCATTTTAATTCATCTTTTTTTTAAATATCGATTCAAAAAGTTTTCAAGTGGAAACCTCCCATGAAAATACACTGTAAAAACACAAAATGCGACCAAGAACTTTTGGTTTAGCTTCTGATTCAAATATCTATATTTGAAATAACTTTTCAGCAAGATAAAGATGCTTATTTCCTTTATGCTAATTAAGAAACACTAGTTATTTCACCTATAACAAGACATTTTCCCATGATACAAGTGAGATAATCTTCCAATGGAACTAGTACTTTGTAATTCATATCAAGGAATTATTTATCTAAAATAAGATCCTACATCTTGCTGAAAAGTTACAGCTAAGTTAGTTTTACTGTATTTTAAGTGTACTAAAATATTTGCACTAGAAACTAAACCAAAGCGAAAACTTAAAACGCTCCTTTCTTTCAAATATTTCTGTGATAATTTCTCCGGCTCTGAATTTGACCTCTTCAGGAATTACAGCATCGTTCTTTTTTCTTTCTCTCCACGTCTTGTCTTTTTCAAAGAGGGAAACAAATCATTTCACTCCTGGATTTAATAAAACGTGCGCCAGACGTGGAATCCGGGCGTTCCATTTCACTGCGCTGATAAAAGATGAAATATGGCTAAGGCTGCATTAAACAGCCATCCATATCACAGCAGACTCATGACAAACTGTTAGCCAGGCCTTTGGTGCCTGCAGGGAGATGAATGTGGGGTCAAATTGATAGTTACATGCCAGGACAAGACGTGCAGTTAGTTTGAAAAAGTGATGCTGCTTACAGAAAATCATCCCAAAAGACAAAAACAATGAAAGCTCACAATTATTTTTAGAAAAATGAAGCATCTAAAGCAGTGTTTTTTAGCTTTCAAGCTGAGGATCATTTAATCCAACTAACTTAAAATTTCCCTGCAATAACACATCTTATAATATACAACCAGAAAATAAAATATTCGTTTTCTTGGCCACGATGAAACCGTACAACTCAAGGACGTTTTGAGATATTTACTGATTCTTTAAGCTTCCAGTGATGTCAAACACGTGGAAATAAAAAATAATTTGTTCTTTTACAAAGTGTTTTGTGAGTTAATAACATATTTGTAATTTAGAAGCACAATGAAAGACAAAGAGAGTTGAGTTGGCAGAAACAGAAATCATGTTCTGTGTCAGTAAATATAGCTAAAACATTCCTTTTAGCTATTTATTTAATTCAATTTAATAATTTTTAAGTAAATAAAAATAACAGATAAAAGTAACAATAGCAGAGCAGCACATGACAAACAGAACAGTTCCTGCGAACAGAGACTCGTTCACGCCTAATGAAGACACGAATCATGTAATTAATCCTGGCGTTGTTTGACCCGGTTTAATAATATGATAATCCATCATATTATCTTTAAGCGCAATCCGTTGCTGAGCTAGCTGCAGCGTCGTTTACCTCGTTGACCACCAGGGGGAGCCGGCGGACTGAGCTAAAGCCTGAAAACAAACAGGCGATGCTGTGTTTGTTTAGCTGTGAGCCATAAATGAAACCCATGCTTTCCTGAAACTGGATGACGTGTTTATTCCAGGAGGCAGTTTCATCCCTCCATCATGGCTTCCTTCCTGCCACAGGCAAAGTACGCTGGGAAATCCTCAGCGGTAAACAAGGACAGCTCAGAGTCTGAGTCTCCTGACTGTGTGTTTGGATGAATTTGTTGTTTTGAAGGTGAAATCAGACAGTAAAATCAAACAATGCTTCATTCACAATAGTTTTAGCTATATAAAAAAATTAATTGTCATAATTCTGCTCTCAATCGAGAAAAGAAAGGCGGAAATTTTAAGGAAACTTGAAGACTTCTTACAACTATTGGTTCACCTGGTAAAGATGAGTAAAATATCTCAAAATAAATAAGTCTTTTGTTGTTTTATTGGGAATCTGAGAGTGAAATATTTAGAAAATCTAACCTATAATTTCAGAAAGTTAAAAAATGTTAATTTTATACTATGTCCTCTCTTTCCCATTTTTATGAATCTATTAGATAAGTAAAGCTCTGCATCACATCCTATTTATAGCACATATAAAAAGAAGACATAAATTACACATTGAAAAGTTCTGAGACAATCTTATCATCTTAAAAAGGAAAAAATACATGTTTCAAAACTTTTGCACTGCAAAAACACAAAATATTCTCAAGTATTTTTAGTTTAGTTTCGAATCAAAATATCTTAGTACATTGAAATGAGACAAAACTAACTTATAAGTAACCTTTCAGCAAAATATGAGCTTGGTTTAAGACAATAATTCCTTAATGTGGATTAAAAAGGTTACAGGCAGATTATTTCACTTATGAAAAAAAAAGTCTTTTCATAAGCAATATTATGTAATCTACCAGTAAAACAAGCATTTGTTAGTCAATATTAAGGAGTAATTGACTTAAAACAAGCTTCTTCATCTTGTTGAAAAGTTAGTTTTGCAGTTATTTAAGTTAGGAACTAGACCAAAATATTGTTTTGCAGTGTAATGTTATGTCAGATGTGCCAGTGGGGTTTCTACATGTGTATCAATTACATAAATAAAGGTCAAATATTTATAAATCTTTCATTGTGAGATTCTGAAAATTAACTTTTACCAGAATAATAACAGAAGATATGGTGGTTTTAAGAAACAAAAAAAAGGAAAATATAAAGTTTTGAGGGGTTTAAAGTTTGTACAGGTGAAAAGAAAAATCTTTGATCTCCAGGATTGTCAGTTTTCAGGTTTTATGCATCATTTAATAATGAAATAATGAAACAAAAGTCTGTTTTCTGCAGTCATGTAGTGATTTTCCCACCGGTTTGTGTCTCTTTAGTTGATTTATACAATGTGTTTTAGCTGCTTCACCTTCTCATTTTTGTGAAGTTGGATTTTTTTCTCTGCTATTCGTTGTGTGTTCACGTTCATGTCATTCCTCCACCGAACTGATTGGATACAAAATGCCTAAAGATGGAAGGATTAGGACCAGTCCAGTGGTTTTCCAAAGATGTTTCAGAGTGGGCTCCAAGCAGCTTTCTCCAAATTAGGCCTCTCTTTTGATTTTGGCTTTTTTCACTGGCCCTAAATCCTGCTGACTGCGTTTCTCTGCTCTGTGATCGTCTTGTATTATATGATGGATATTTGAGAAATTCTAGAAAAGAGAATTACAAAAAAAAAAATGGAAACATGTCTTGTATGATTGATTTTCTTCTGTAATTTATTTAACCGGTGCAGAAACAAAAAGCAGTATAAATGCTTGCTAATTAAAAATTTCCATTCCATTGCTCTGCTAATCCTGTTTAGCTTGTTGTATAGACGTATTATTCTTTATTTTTCACATTACGTCTACATTCAGCTGCTTTCGCCTGCTAAATATATCTTTGTTTGGTCCTCTCGCAGAGCCAGGCCTTGGCCCACTACAAGGGCACCAAACATGCCAAGAAGCTAAAAGCCCTGGAAACCCCGAAGAGTAAACTCAAAGGCTCAGCGGTCACCAAGGAAGCGGCCAACCAGGAGACCGCCAAGGGCATCAACACCTTGCAGGGCATCAACACCTTGCATGTCCCCAACGGCACAGACAGGAAAGGTCTGTGTTTTCCTGCCCTCTACACATTTCCCGACACACGCTCCCCTGGCTTCATGCAGCTGCTGCACCTCAGCAACATAAAACCTTAAAATGCACGTTTTCCTCCTGCCGTCAGTGACACAGGTTCTTAAACTGGGTGAAAAATTCACAGGGTTTTATTTTGTACTTCCATTTGGGTTTCTGCTGCTTCTAAAAACAGTCCAAGCTCAACCCGTTTTCGACAATAACTTCATGTTTTCTGTGGTCCTGAAAGTCAGACGTCACCTCGCAACCCAAGCTGAGTTCCAGCACATTTGGGCAGCTAGTTTTACTCTATGTGTGCTGTACGACGGCTTTTGAAGGCCATTTTGAAATTAATGAACATGTTTTGTATTGACACGTTGCACGTCACTGTTTACATCCAGAAAGACGATTTTTCCTTTGCAGGTCGTCCAAAGCGGCGCTGACGTGGTAGAACAGTTTCTGTTCACAAAATGAAACCTGGAGATGTAGGTAGTATTCATTTAGTGCAGTGCGGCACAGCAAAGGGAGGAACAACGCAGAAAACCCTCGTTTTATTCTTTTCTCTCGTTCTCACAGACTGGTTTCCATAGCAGCCGACTAACAACGGCGCTAATGTATCAGGAATCAGCTCCATAAAAGAGGCAAACATTTCAGACACAAAGAACAGAACTTTCAGCCTGTTACAGTCTGAAGTTTTCAGGCTTGATGTTTATTTTGTGATTAGCTACCGCTGCTGTTAGCTAATCGAATGGAGCAGCGGCTGCTGTTAGCTAATCAAAAGGAGCAGCGGCTGCTGTTAGCTAATCGAACGGAGCAGCGGCTGCTGTTAGCTAATCGAACGGAGCAGCGGCTGCTGTTAGCTAATCGAACGGAGCAGCGGTTGATTAGCTGATTTAAGCTAATTCTGCTCCACTGATGATCTGTCAGAGCTGGTGTTTAGGGCTACTTTTTTTAAACTGGACCAAAACATACCAAATTCCACATCACATTGACATGTTAAGATTGTCAGTCAAGCTAGCATAATTGACCTACTTCTCTTTCCCTTGTTATGTTTTCTTTTTTAAACCTTTTCCTGCGTGTCAGAGTGTTGACTATTAGTAGCAAACCACTGCAGCCCTTTTTCTTTTATATATCAGACGTACATTTAAGATTTAGTACTTTATGTTGACAACTTCACAGCTAAAACCAATGCTGGTCATCGTCAGCAAGCAAACTCTCTGGATCATAACTAACTGCATACAGGTTGATGTGATCACAGCAACCTGCCAGGTTAGAGAGAAAATATCAGATTTTTAAGTTTGAGAGAACAGGAGTGATTTTCAGTTTCTCTATAGACACATATTTTCGGAAACCGGCTTTTACCTTCCAAACTCTCGATGCTCATTGTCATACTTTTTACGGCTGTTTCAGGACACCCAGTCCTTTCTCTGTCAGTTCAGAAAAATATGTAAAAAACTCACAGTTACTCTATTGAAACTGAGAAAAAAAGGAATACGAAGCTGCTCAGTTCACACAACGCTGGATATCTGGGAAAATGAAAAAAGTTTCGGTCTCTCATCCATATGAAAACTCTATTTGTTTTTGCTTGTGTTCATGGGAAAACATAGATTTATGGTCCTGGACGGCAACATATCCACATACTGACTTTGGCAAGATTCCCAGATTGTGTTGCGTTTTAATAACTTTATATTCTAATAAACAAATTAAAAGTAGCTCAACCTATAAAGTGTGATTAAGGAAAAGCCAACATGTGTTGCGATGGTTTGTTTGGAAGGTTTGCCAAGAAAATTAAAGGGATTTGTAGTACAAATCTGCTACAAGTTGGATTTGTAAAGTTGCTTCCCAAAGCAGCACAGTATTTGTAGAACAATATTTCTTGGACCAAAGTCAACAATGAATTCCAGAAGCTAATAATAACCAACAGAAAGGAAAAGACGGAATGAAAAAGCACTAAAAATAAGAATAAACCAAGAACTAATACACAAAAGAATGAGGCAAAATTGAAGAAAATAAAGAATAAATTATCAAAAGAGAAACATCTTTTACTCTTTTAATGAAATAAAAACCTATGAAGGCTTAATGTTGCACTTTATTTCAACTCCCATAACAGAAAATAACAAAAGTTATTCTTTTCTGTGTTTTCATCCAATGGGCCATTTTTCTAATTAAAACTTTGGCAGGAACACATTGTTGCTAAACGTGTGTATTTGTGCTGCTGTGTGCAAGCAGTGGTGTAAATCCTGTGATTTTGGCCAGGTGTTTGCTTCATGGTTATGTCCTGGTACAAAACACGCATTAAATGGTTTGCAAAAAAAATCATCTTCCACCAGCTGATGGGAACCAGATGCTGATTATTCGTTGCTCTGAGTTGGCAACAAATTGCACTGCTGATAAGTCATTTTCTGTCTCCTGAACAAACATATGTGAAGGATAATATAATCTTCTCTTAGTCTGCTGGAATTATAAAAGCTGGCACTTTGACTTTGGAAATTTAGAGAAGAAGCAGAAACATTGAGCTGTTTCGGCTCCAGGCCTCCATCAGTTTTCTCCAGCTTGTCCTATATCACGACTGTATAAAGATGACTACTGTCTGCATTTAATACACAATATGAGTTGTTTTATTCCATTTTAGAGAGAATATTTTAGAGATTTACATCCCTCCAATAAAAATGTCAAAGCTAATTTGTGCTTTCTGGATTAGAACCTTGTACTCCCACGTAGGCTGCACTGTTACTCAATTATAAGATTATGGGGGGTTTTTTATTAAAAATTGAAAACTACATTTTCCATTTCTGGTCTCTAAAACCATTTCTCATTGTAACAGAAATTTACAACTGCAGAACAGAGCTGAAGTGATGTAGATTTACATGTATGTTATTAATGAGAGTGTCTCTGCTTTTGAAATACAATGGGCCTGGGTTCTGACTCGGTACAGAACGTTCTATTCCTTAATCCTCAGCCAGTTCTCTGTGGATTTATAGGTGTGTTTTGAGTCCCTGTCATGTTGCAAGGTCCAGTTCAGCTACAGCTTTATTTATTCTTTTTTTTTTTTTTGCAGATGTCACTTTTTCCTTAGACCATCAAATGCACAGTAAATCTAGCGGTGGATTCTATTGTAGTGGGCTGGATTACAACAGAGCATCCCAGATCATGACACTCCCACCTCCATGTTTCACCATTGCTGTTAGGTTATTGTCAGTCAGTTTCCAGACCAGCACGAGTCCACCAGCGAATCGAGATCCAGTCTGTTTGTCTGGAAAGTCCAGTTCGTTTTGGGGAAGTGTGAACATATAACTGAACTCTGATGTGGATCAAAGCAGGGAACTCTGGCTAAAAACTCAGTTTGGTTGGAGTTAACGTCTCCAAAAGCATGATGTGGACTACAGTGCAGGGCATTCTGGGTAAATACAACCAAAACAGACTTGATAGTTTAGCTCTAGTGGGAGAAATGGTCTTTAGCTCGTTAAGGAAACAATAACCTGTTAGAACCAGTTTTGCTCGTACAAATGACTCAAAGTCTTCTGGAGAGAAATGTTGAGAGCAAAAATGTACGTCCTTCTGAAGTTGTATTCCACTCTCTGTCGCTGCGCTCTTCTTTTTTTCCGTGTGGGAAGCGATCCAGCTTCACCTCACTCAACAGAGACACGGCGTGTCATTATCTAAAATTACACCAGTCAAACGCAACATGATAAACAACGACCCAGATATAGTTAGCCTTGCTGTGTTTACTCTGTAGACTCCAGTACATAATGAACCAAAACGCGTCACCAACCCATCGGTGAGAAATAAAACAAAAAAGATTAACATTTCTGAAGTAATTATAAGTTTTATCAAATCACAAACAGCTATTTTTTAGTTTACATTAAAATGACAACATGTAAATCTAGTCCTGGATCACCTAAAGCAGCCGGAAACATAATAAACAGATAAAAAAAGAGCCATAATAAGATGTCAACAAACATTAATCAGTTCATTTCCCTGAAAAGTATCACCTGCATGATTCTGTAGCAGACCTGAGATCTGGAGGTGTTGGTTTATCGCAAGCAGTTCAGGGTAATGAATATTAATGTGCTCACACGTCACAAGAATTAACAGTCAAGGCGGATAAATGCTGCATTAACTGAACGGCTGAAGTGTTTCACGGGCTCTAATGAAAGTCTCAGTTTGGTGGTGGAGTAATGGCCGCAGCGAGAGTCGGTGGAAACAACGGGGAGGCAGAGCTCTGCCGGCTTTTATTGAAGAAGGATTTAAAATGGCTTGTTTTTGCTCCTAAATGCCAGCTGGTTGCTCATTTCTGCTTTTAAAAATACGTGTGATTGTGCCATGCAAATAATACTTGAAGTCTGTGTTTTTAAGCAAAGGAACTTGACAAATGGAGTCAAATACAAGTAAGGCTGTAGGTTTTCCCCTTGAATTACAGGAGGGGAAAAACTTTAAGTTGTCCAGATCGCACAGAGCCATCAGAGCTGTCAAATTAAGATTATTTTGGCAGTCGGCTACACAGTGCAAGTCATTATGGTGAAACACTGCCATATTTGTCAAGACGCTAAGCACTGCTTCTCCTTCTGCTCCTCACAATGTGTTTGGAATCAGTTACAACTTTTATTCTTTGACAGACTCCTTCCAGTTGCAAAAAAATTAAATTAAAGGGAAAATAGGGCAATAGAAAACTGATAAACTGACTGAATTACTCATGGATAATTCATTTTCACCACAGCTCAGTGTGTTGGGAAACAATCTTTTTTGTTTTTATTTGCTGGAAATAAAAATGTCTGTCGCACAATAAGCAAAAGCCAATAGTTTTATTCTTATTAAATAAATCCTATGAATTTAGACTCTCTACGATTGTCGAATATTTTTCAAATGCTCCTGCTTTAGAGAAAGAAAACTTCTGAAAACACCTAAAAAGCTGTAAAAACATGGAAAAAATGTATCTTTTATGCTTTTGTTTTGACTTACTTTCCCTCTTAAAGCATTTTGTTGGATGAAAATCACCA